TTATGAGCTAAAACAAATATCTTCAGTTAATAAAAAAAAAAAATATTCTTCACGACACTATCTGTCAATCAAAGTACCCCACCTTGCCTCCCTCCCCTCTTCCAACTGAGCCAGATGGTCAATCCGTCCCAACCCTCCCCCCACCCCCCACCAACCCTCCCTTCAAGAGAAAGGGTGGGTGAAAAAACTAGATTTTAACATTTAGTATTAAATAATACCTCAGATTAAAGTTAGGATAATATAATTGACATTGCTGGATTCCTTGTAAAACCAGGAATATTTTGAATATAAATGTCATATATTTTGCACAAAAGATAACATATTTACTCAGAGTAAACATTATACCTAAAAATTTTATGTCTAATGCAAAATATATGATGTTTATATTCAAAATGATCATCAAATTGTAAGAATTCCAGCAATGTAAATTATATTCTGGCTGAGTACTTTGTATGAATTTTATGAGCTAAAACAAATATCTTTAGTTAATAAAAAAAAAATATTCTTCACACATGCCAGGTGGCCGGTCACCAGTCCCTCCCTACCCCCCCACCAACCCTCCCTACCAGATAAATGTGTGGGAATACCAGACTGTTTACCTTTTTAGTAATAAACAATAAATCAGACTACAGTTAGGATAATATAATTGACATTGCTGGATTCCTTGTAAGACCAGGAATATTTTGAATATAAATGTCATATATTTTGCACAAAAGATAACATATTTACTCAGAGTAAACATTAAATCTAAAATTTGTATGTCTAATGCAAAATCTATGATGTTTATATTCAAAATGATCATCAAATTGTAAGAATTCCAGCAATGTAAATTATATTCTGGCCGGACAATTTGTATGAATTTTATGAGCTAAATAAAAAAATTATACTTCACCCGCGTAAAGGGGTACACCCACCGCGGAATGTGAGCATCCTGGGTTCTGGCAGGGCACCGTGTAAACGTGGAAACGCGGAATGTGGGACCGCGTAAAGTGAGGGTTGACTGTAGTTTTATTTTCAGTATACAGTGGTCCCTCGGTTAACGAGCACAATCCGTTCCAGCAGGTTGCTCGTTAACCGAAAATCTCGTTAACCGAAACCATTGTTTCAATGGGTTTTTGGGTAATTGGTTCCAGCTCACCGAAAATTGCCTAAATTCAACAAAAAAGGTAGAAAAGTTCACTTACTTTGAGGTGTGTATGTAGAAGGCTCCTGGATGATGATGATGTGAATTTGAAGTGGGAGGTGGAGGAGGAGAAGGGAGAAGAGAAGGAAGTGGAGGTGGAGGAGAAGCATTTTACTGCTTCTTGGAAGGTGAGTCACCTTCCATGAAAATGTCAGGAACCTCTGGACTGACAGATTCTCCACCATGAACATCCTCTCTCCTTCTTGAAGTGGAAGGCTGAGGGATAGCATCTTGTTCCCTCTGCCTTTTACTGAAGAAAGTGTCAATTGTGGTCTGTGGGGCATCTGTCCTCCTCACCATTAACTCATGTTTAAAGAAGGAGACCATTGAGTCCTCAACATGACACAAAGTTAGTTCAGTTTTTTCCACATCTGGGTGCTTTGAAGCCAGTTCCCTGAACTTCTCCCAGTGGTAAATCACATCTTTCAACTGTTTAGCTGACATATGGTCATCACTTTCAATTTCCTCCTCACCACTGTCAGCCTCTACCTGTAACATCTCATCCAGTTGCTTCAAGTCATCAGGAGTAAGTTCCTCCTCATGAGACATCACAAGCTCTTCCACATCCTCCTCCTCCACTTCAAGGCCCAATGACTGACCAATGGACACAATCTCCTGGTCCAACTCTGTTTCTTCCTCAAATCCCTCAAAATCATGGACTACTGATGGCCACAGTGCTTTCCATGAAGAATTGAGGGATCTAGTGGAGACTTCTTGCCATGATGACACAATCAATTTTACAGCCTCCAGGATGTTGAATTGTGTCTTCCAGAAATGTTTCAGTGTTAGTTCAGGATCATTGGAAGTTGCCTGATGACACCCCCTAAACATTTTCTTCATGTACAACTTCTTGAAGTTGCTGATCACATTCTGGTCCATTGGTTGTATGATGATGTAGTGTTTGGAGGCAAAAACAACACTTTCACAAAGTCAAATTGATACTCCAAATTTCTGGCAAGGTCAGGGTCATGACCATGAGCATTATCCATGAGGAAAAGAGCCTTTAAAGGGAGTTTATTGGTGGTTAGGTAACTCTTGACAGAAGGGCAAAACACATCAACAGCCCATTCATTAAAGAGCTGTCTTGTCACCCATGCCTTACGGTTGGACTTCCAATAAACTCCAAGCTTTGTTCTTACCACTTTCTGTTGCTTGAACACCCTGGGGTTTTCAGAGTGGTAGACTAGCATAGGCTTCAGTCGGAAATCCCCTGAAGCATTGGCACCAAGCAATAGAGTGAGACGGTCTTTCATGGGTTTATGCCCAGGTAAAGAGGCTTCATCTCTGGTGATGAATGTTCTTTTGGGCATCTTTTTCCAGGACAGCCCAGTTTTGTCCACATTGAACACTTGCTGTGGAAGATAATTTTCTTCTTCCATCAGTTTTTTAAATTCGTCTAAAAACTTTGCTGCCCCTTCCTTATCAGCACTAGCAGCTTCACCATGCCTAACAACACTGAAAATGTCACTTCTTTCCTTACATTTTTCGAACCAGCCTTTGCTGGCCCGAAAATCTTCAAATTCTGTGCCTGAAGAACCAGGTTGATCTGTCTTTAAATGTTCGTAAATCTCCCTGGCTCTTTCACAAATGAATTCAGAAGAAACTGAATCATCTTTCATCTGTTTTTCCCTAATCCAGATGATAAGTAACCTCTCAGTTTCTGCAATTAGGGATCTACTTTTAAACACTCTTGTAGATTTGTCTCTCACTTTCACTTCTTTAAATTTGTCTTAATGTGCAAGAATTGTCGACACAGTTGATGTCGACATGCCATATTCTTTGCATAGCGCATTTGTTCTAATGCCTTGTTCATATTTTTTTATGATTTCCTGCTTGGTTTGGATTGAAATTGCTTTTCTTGATCTCTTAGGCCCCATACTGGATTCAAACAATGTCAACACGTGCTTTTTAAAGTTAAACTTGTTGTAAATAAAGAATATTTTCTTTAAAATAACACTGCACTGCGCTATATATTGTCATTATGTAAAATAAATTTCAAAATGACCAATAATTTGCTTGGAACACAGAAAAAAAGCATTTAGTTGGAGAGTCTCAAGCAAGATGTTACCTCCAGTGAAAACAGAGAGAGACAAACGCCTGTTTGCTGTGATAAGAGGCTGGATGCCGCGCATTAAACTAGTCACTTTACCTTCAATTTTGTTCAATAATTGTTAAAATGACTTAAAAATTTAATATCAAACTTTTAAAATTATTGAATAGCATAAACTTCTTGATATTTACTAAAATAGTAAGGAATTTAAGCCCTAGAACCGATTAATGTATTGGCGGACTAACACTACAGCTGGTTGACCGCCCAGTGCAAGCCAAAACTTGATGAGGTCGGCTCGTAAGAAACTCGTTAACCGAGGGGTTGCTCGTTAACCGAATTTAAGAATCTTATGGGAGGTAGCTATTTAACCGAAATCTCGTTAACCGAGGCGCTCGTTAACCGAGGGACCACTGTAGTCTCCCTTGACTTCAGTGTACTTTTACCCTACTTAGTTTTCAAACTCTCTAAGCCTGACTTCTCAAACTGTGCTTTGGCTCATCATCCTGAAAGCAGCACCCATGGTGGTAAGACTTCAGGTTTTGAAACAGATAATAGTTACTTTGAGCCAGTTCTTGGTTATAGGGAAGGCTTTTTAGTTACTATCTTTTAAATTGAATTCCTGTTTATGATGTATGCCAAGGAACAATAACAAACAAATGCACTGGATGGCACACACTGATATATTTATAACAAACAAACCTTTGTACAGTATGCAATTTAAATTATGAAACTGTATTGACAAATAAAAACGTTTGTATCATGAACTGCTCTCTCTATAACACTTCACTATATTATATATGGCTTACAGTAGTAATGTTACCTTGGTTGTTTCATAAATCATAATCCATTCCTTAAAACTCTTGGATCTGGGTAGGTATTCTCCCACCAGATGCTCAGGGTCTGGCCTGATACTCACCTCCCTGCATGTGACTGCACCACACAAGCGATAATTGTACATAATGAGTCATAGAAAGCTTGCTATTTAAGATAAAAAGGTGGGATATGTTGTATTAGCGTTGTAAGTAAATGATCTACAAGCAGATTTATGTGAGAAATCACGAGAAAATAATTACAGTACTGTATTTCTAAATGTAAGAGCGAGTAGAAGGCAGCAGGAGGCACCACGTGGTGCAATCTCCTTGCATTTTATACATTTTTCCACCTCTACCCTCGCCATCAACACGAGGCATGGTTCAAAACACTCACAACACAGTTATGAATAAATTAAATCACTGTGATGAACAAGAAAGCAGCGCAAGCAGCAAGGAAATGTGGGTCATTTAAACACAAAAGCGAGACTGGTGTGGTAACCTTCAGTGCGGTCTACATATATGCCAGATCATGCTGATGTTACCAAATGTGCGACTTACATATCTAGCATTCATACAGAAACATGAAATTATTTTATCTTAATTTTTTACTTCATATATAAATTTGCATCTGAAAACTCTAAAGCAAAAATTTATATCAAATGCAATTTTATGTATGAAAACCACAAGAGTGTTAATTATCACAATTCATAACTACAATTTTTTAAATCTAGGGATGCCAGTGCAGTACAGTATTAATATTTTTTCAATGCAAATGTCTTGAAAGACGTATTTGCTTATTTGATTACAATATTTACAGGGTAATATGTTTCAAGTATGTTTGTGCAGGCAATTAAAAAAGAAAGAAAAAAAACATCAATGCTTGTACATTATATAAACTACCTGTATAGTTTACTCCTGCAAACAAATTTTCTTTAAAATTATATGTTTTTTTCAGGTTAAGTCAATCCTCAGCACCCTAGTTCAAGGTCTCACCATCCCAGTAACTTGTAAGATTCGACTTCTGAAGACTTTGCCAGACACAATAGAACTTTGCAAACTGATTGAGGAATGTGGAGTTGCTGCAATTGCCATTCATGGCCGCACTAAGGAGGAAAGACCTAATCATCCAAACCACAATGACATGATTAAAGAAATAGCCAATGTTCTTACAATCCCAGTCATTGCAAAGTGAGTACGTACATAGTACAAGAAATGTAAATGCTGATATTTATGTTAAAAGATTCTTATGATAAAGATTAATATTTACAGTGTATCTCTGTGTTTCCTATGAAGTTCCTTGATGTGCAACTTTTTAAAATCTGTACAGCATTTCCACATAAATTGTAACTCCAAAAAACAATCCTTTATACAATTCTGATAGTAGTCTGTAAGCACTCAAGCAGAAGTACATTGAAGATCAAGAAGGATAACTTCCTTAAATGCTATTTTTCTTGTAAACTGTTAAGAGTCTTCAGTAACACCACTGCACACTCAGGCTTGACCAGTATCCTCCATGTTTTATATACTCTACTTTCTCTCCCAACTCAACTTTTCCTCTTAATATTTATTGTAATTACCTCTATCCAGTTCCCCATTATTGTTTGTGTGGGTTGTAAAAGTGTTAGATACAGTAGTAATTAATGAGATTTACCACTCTTTATTTCTTTGTATTTGTTAATGTCCAGAAACACCTCCCAATTTTTACAATAAGAAATTAAATTCAGTAGAGAACAATTCACATGAAAAGAAGAGTCTATGGACAGAGCCATATTTTCTGTTGACTATCTGCATGTTTTCATCCATAAAATTTCACTTCTTTACCTACGCTAGGCTTGGTCTAAATATTATATATTAGACTTAAACAAATCATGATAGCCATGAGTGACAAATGATTATTAAACAGAAGATTGATTTTGCTGGAGAATGAACTTGTAAGGAATTGATCAGTAATTCTAACATATCAATTATTTCCAAAAATTTTATAATTGGAAATATACTTGCTAATTCTCAAGTGATTCGTGATGTAATTTGTTCAATTTGATTCTGGTCAATGTTGAGAGTTCACCTTCTGATGAGTGTCTATGTTGACCACATAAGCAAACCATAATGGTTAGGGGTGAAATTTTAACATATGATTATCTTTTTTTTTTTTTCTTTTTTTCCCCCTAAAGGCAATCACCTCCTCACTTGATATTTCATAAAGTTCCTTGTGTAAGTGGATTAAGAGTTGCATTGGCAGAATTATTATATTAAGAGTAAAACCTCGATAAATTGGATTTCAATATACAGAGTACAGTACAGTGAAACCTCGCTTTACGCGGTCAATTGAACCCACGGAGGCCCGCGTAAAGCGGGAAACTCGTAAAGTGAACAACAGAACATATGGGATTAATTGAAATAGAGACTGGGCCGACCCCCAAACTCCACTTTTTCCCGACACAATACGTACGTTTTAATAAAAATAACATCTTAACTTTATGATGGTATGCACACACACATAATATAGAAGAGAACAATCAATAAGAGAATAATATACTGTAGGTTAGGTAAGAAAAAATCAAGGTTAGGTTTAACACTTACGTTAGTAGAAGAGATGGGTCGGCGTACGGGAATGGAGGCTGGTTCCGAGGCAGAGGGCAAGCTACTGGCCCTCAGGTGAGTCATCATCACTGTCATCCACACTTATCAGGGCCTCCCTGACAAATCCCTCAAAGTCACCATTACTGTCTCTGTCACTATCACTGGTTTGGGCTAGCTGTGGTGGGTTGCGGGCGATGAACTCGGTAATGCTTTGTTGACGGCTGGTGTTGATGTTGTCGTGATACACCTGGATGTAGAGGTCCATAATCTGCAACAGCTGGGTAGTGAAGACTTCATACCGGTTATCGTCAGGGTTGTCGGAAAGGAGGAGCTTGAGTTTCTCAACACACTAGATGGCACCCCTTACATTACCATGCGATAACTTACGTTCTTCTTGGGATGACACACCACCTGCCTCTTCACTGACGTCATCATCTTCTAACAACTCGCCGGCAGTCACATCAGGATCCCTTATCACCTCCATAATGTCGTCGTTGGTGGTCTCGGAGAAGCCTGCAGCTGTAACACTCTGCGCAGCTTCTCTGGCAAGGTCCACTGCTACTGCAACAGTCTGAACCTCACCAGTCACAGATTTACTCTGCCTTCCACCTGGAATACCTTGCAACACATGTCTCCATGCGTGACGAACCGTTGCTACAGACAGCTAATCCCATGCCTCCACCAAGAAGTCCACAGCTTTCTTAACGTTGAATTTTCTCCAAAAGTGTTTCACAAGTACTTTTTGCTCTGCCAACTGTTGTTCCTCGTCCTCTTCGCTCTTGCTATCGGTGTCACCCAGGTTACGTAACTCATCCTTGGTGTTGGTATAGTCGTTCAGGAGCTTAAACTTCTTTGCAGAGAATGCAGCTTTCATATTATAGATCAATTCTTGGTCCATGGGCAGGATTAATGGCGTAGTGTTGGGAGGAAGGCAGACCACTTTTACATTGGGGTGACAATCCAATAGTAGGGGCGAGTGTCCTGATGTGTTGTCAAACAGCAACAAAATCTTGAATGGAACATTGTGTTGCTCACAGAATTTCTTCGTGTTGGGAACGAAACAGTCATCAAACCAGGAGAGGGACAGAGTAGAGAACATCCATGCCTTACGTGCGGTCAGCCAGTGGACATTTAGCTTGGTCATGTCCATGTTCTTGTAGGCGTGTGGCTTGCGTGCTGTGTGGATCACCGATAACTTGAGCTTATAGGTACCGGAGGCATTGGTGGTAAACAGGACGGTGATGTGCTCCTTCTGCAACTTCCGGCCCCGACACTTGCTGGCAGTCTTGACAACAAAGGTCTTGGAAGGTAGCTTTTTCCAAAAAAGACCAGATTCGTCCATGTTGAACACCTGGTCGTCGGTGTACTGTCCTTCCTCCATAATCTCACGTAAAAATGGAGAAAAATCCCTAGCCGCAACACGGTCAGCACTAGCTTCTTCACCACCAATGTTAATGTTGGTGATCTTGTTCCTCTTCTTTAACCTCTGCAACCACCCAGAGGAACCATTGAAGGGTTTGGGCTCTGCAATTCTCATCTTACGTGACACTGCTGCATACAGTTCACGTGCGTACTCCTTAACTGAGCTCGTGTCCACTGCCATGTTCCGTCTTGCCTGACGAATCAAGTAGCTCACAAGTAATTTCTCCGTCTTGAGAAGTACCTGGTTGTGGCAATACTTGATCATAGAAGCACCTGTAGACTTTGTGATGTTCATGTGCTCTTTTATCTTGGCTGCATCCTTCTTGATTGTTCGGATCGTAGATTCGTTCACACCATGCTGGTGCGCCAAATCAACCTGTCTTGTTCCTTTCTCCAACTCTTGGATGATCTTGTATTTAATTTCGTAGCTTAGAGCATGTCGTATCTTCTTTGGCTTAGGGCGGCTGGGTCCAGGTAATGCAAGGTTTCTTTGTGGTGGTGGTCCAGTGGCAGCCATTCTTATGGAACAATAGATACCGATATACACGGTGTAGCCGGGAGGGGTGTCACTGACTCGGGTAGGTCAACAGGCTTCAACGCTCCCGTGGTGGGGCACGTCATATTACATTAAACCAATCACAGCTAGTGGGGGAGGGAGGTAAGGATGCTTGGCCCAATCACAGTCCGATACGTCATATGACGTCACCGATAACGCAGCAAAGACATACACTGTGCAACCTACTTGCGCCACTTACCCAACATGGCGGGTGGCGGGAGGTTTGAATCCAAAAATGACGCGGCGCGAGCTGACCGCCAGCCGCTCTCCGCGTAAAAGAGTACATGCACCGCGTAAAGTGAGCGTTCCGGGTCTGGCAGGGTACCGCGTAAACGTGGAAACGCGTAAAAAAAAAACGCGTAAAGCGGGGTAATACTGTATTGGAATTCATTTATTCCGGACTCTCTGAGCTGCTCCGATCACCAGAAATACAAAAAAAAAAAATCTAAGTAGCCGGAATCCTTCAAACCCGGAAATCTCCGATAACTGGAATTGAAATTTGCTGGGAAAATCATTCCCAAAGCCGGAATTTTCCAAAAACTTCCAACTTTGGGAAGAAATTTTCCGACACGCTGAATTAGAAGGTAAAAATAAGTATTTTACTGTATCTGAAGGGTACTGGTAGAAGAATTTATTTGAAATACTCCGTAACACTCGATACCAAAATATCCTAGCCAGTTTTCCTTGTGATAAAGCCATATTTTTGAGCAGCATATTACAAAATTTTTTATCTCTTGTGCAAACTATGAGATGTTTCTACTCAAATTAATTGCTATCTTGCAAGGATTCCAGCAATGCAAGTTATCTCTTAGGTCAAGTCTGTGATATTTTATAAGAGAAAACTTTAAGCCTAAAACAAAATTCATCCCAATAATCTTTATCAACGCCATCTGCTCCTCCACTGCTGGCTGGGGGGAGGTGGGGTGTCGACAGTCAGGAGGGGAGATTAATGCGTACTCAAGGATTACAAAAGGCAAGGAGTTTAAGTTTTTCACTTATAAATTATCACTGACTTGATTTAGCAGAATATAACTTGCATTGCTGGAATTCTTGAAAGATAGCAATTAATTTGAGTACAGTATGCTCACAACTTACTCCTATTTTTCTTACGCGGTTTGAACTATAACTGGATTACCCCAGGGGTAAGGCTACAAATTCCAATTTCAAGTTCAAAATTTTTAAATAGGTTGTAAGCGTGCCAAACGCTCCACCCTGTCATCCCATCTCTCTGTCTTCAGTTGCCGCGTGGGTATTGTCAGAGTAACAGCTGCCTTTCGTGTGTGTCAATTTACTGCACTTATACTTTTCTCATACACGTTCATAATGCCTCAACCCAAGCCAACCTCTGCCTCTGGTCCTCCAGCGAAGAAACAACGCCCAGTGATGACCATGGATGAAAAAGTGGCCGTTTTAGACTTAATAAAAGGCGGGATATTGGTCGCTGCTGTGGCACAGAGGTACGGACGCAACGAATCAAGCGTGAGTTCCATAAGATTCGAGAGAAGGAAATTCGTGAAACCGTGTCTACAGGTGCCTCATTTACTGCTAAGGTGACTAGCCAGGTTAGAGATGTATAACTTTAGTCAACTGGGGAGGGAGAGGGAGAAGGGTCCATTGGGGGGTAAATGTG